ACGTAACTTAGCTAGCTATAGTGGTATAAAGAAAAGGTTTATGCTACAATACACGTAACTTAGCTAGCTATAATGGTATAAAGAAAAGATTTATGCTACAATACACGTAACTTAGCTAGCTATAGTGGTATAAAGAAAAGATTTATGCTACAATACACGTAACTTAGCTAGCTATAGTGGTGTAAAGAAAAGGTTTATGCTACAATACACGTAACTTAGCTAGCTATAATGGTATAAAGAAAGGTTTATGCTACAATACACGTAACTTAGCTAGCTATAATGGTATAAAGAAAAGGTTTATGCTACAAACAAGTATTGAAACAAGAAAGTCAAAATTACAACAACTAAGTAACTTGAAATGTAAAAACAAAATTATCCCTGCATTGGTAAATCATGTTAATTAGGTTAGTCTAAGCCAAACTAGGGATAATTTTTTAAGTTTTAAGTAACTCAGTTTTTGTTGTTTGGACTTTCTTGTTTCAATGTTTTTTTCTGTAAAATTACAACTTTCTATATTGCTATAGCCAGCTAGGTTACGTATATATTGGAAACCCTAAGCCTAACAATGCTGTTGTAAGCTATAATTTCAATTTAAATGTGAACTAGAGGGCGCATGACGTTAAGATCAAGTAATAACCATGGAAACTATGTTAAAATGTCTTGGGGTGTTGTGCGTCTCATAAATCAAACTCAAACAGGTGGGAAACATTTAACTTGTATGTGGTTCCAGAAGCACCCTGTTAATTCAGGTTTAAGTTTCATAATGTGGAAAGTTTTATTCTTGCATTCATTATGCCATTTAGACTGGTCAACATTTTGAAATATATTGCTCCCCGCTTGTCTGTATAAAATTTATTTATTTTCTATTATATTTATTTGTTTCCTTTTTATCAGCTGTATTTTTGTGGGACAGCAATACCAAGCGTGGGGGTGCGCGTATGCCCGATTCGATTTTATTACTCATCAGGATCTCTACCAGCCTACCCTCAAATCTAGTTATATGCCCAAAGTTGCGCATCGTCTGTTATATATACATATATATCCTAGTATCATTTTCGGTACAAAAAAGGAATCATTGGGACCCCAGACGGAAAAGTTTTTTGAAAGAATTAGAGCGATAAGGTTCGTCATTTTTTCTGTACGCTTGTCTGGAAAAGTCGTTTAATTACTGAGATGTAAAT